GGACAAGGGTTGCGGAGCGTGTCGGTTCCCGCGGACGCCGTAGCATGGATCGTAGTATCATAAGTGGACATCTTCATGGGGGATTTTTTTGGTCCCCAACAGCCGCTCGGATTGTTTGTTCGAGGCTGTCTTCTCTAGCACTTTGGCCCAAGAACCTAACCAAAAGGCGTTGGTGGCAAGCAAACCTATTTAATGGCGGTTCACGCTCGCCATGTCACAGTGCCGTGCTTGGAACTGGCAGCAGTTTATAAGGCAGTCAGTACGCCAGATCTCAGCCCTCCGCGCCCTGGTATCACTGTCACCGCTGTGTTCGCGACTGCTTATTCGCCAGACCCCAGAGCCTGCTTATTTCGCCGCTTACCTTCACTGAAGGCCGTGCCACTATCCGCTACCTGTGGACACGCCAGGTAGCCAGGTAACGGGTAACCCGCCTTTCCTGGAGCTTGGCCAGCCTTGATTCATTTGTCAAAGGGGGAAATAATAAGTGCGACGTAAGTATATTTGGCATGACCGCGATCCAAGAAAGATACCTAACTAAGCCGAATCAGAAGCTGCAAGTGGATTCGCCGGCCAAATAGTAACATTCCAGAGCATTCCCGAAATCTGTCATGGCTATGAACAACAGGAGTCGATTTTAGTAGTGGAGAGCTTTATGGAGTCCGCGAATATGCTACCTAGGGTTTAGATACCATCACCTAATTACAGCAAATAGGTAGAAATATCTAATAAAGTATCCCTATCTGTGTCGGCGAACACATCGCTATCATAGAGTGCCAGCCACCATGTGACTGCCCGCTAAGGTTATCGATTCTCAGCTCCAAGGCAAAAACGAAAATGCCTATTTCTGTCTTGAAATCAGGATAGATAGGCGGAGCCACCCTCGTGTGTGACGTTCTCAACCGTTCGTAAATAAACTACTGGAAAAAAATAAAAGATACCAGGGAGGGGGAAGGAGGCGAAGGCGGAAACGGGGTATAAGAAAGAGTTAGAGATGAGGGGAGGAGAGGAGACGATTGGGAGAACATAAAAATCAAAGAGGAGACGAACCCAATGGTGCTGGGGAAAGTTGTAAGCCGGTTGCAACCGACATTGAGTTCCTCCAGGTTGGTTAAAAGGCCGATACTCGGAGGTAGGGCGTCGAGTTGATTGGATTCTAAATCCAGAATGCGGAGTGCCTTAAGGCAACCGATCTCTTGCGGAAGGGACTACAAGTAGATAAACGTAGACAAAAAAGAATGTGATGACTATTGTAGGGCAAGAAAATTTGCAGAATTAACTGCAATGGCTTCTATGTAGACATATTCCAATGGGTGTAAAGTCGGAAGCTATAGCGCTATCACAAAATGGCGACAAGTGTCCGCCATCCAATAAGCTTTCGGCACAAACCCTGGAGTCAGCTGCGCATACATGAGAAACGATCGGGTCTAGGGAACCGAGAGACTAGTCCTTTGTCATGTTTCCTAGAACTCAATATGCCTTAGCATTCGTTCTCGCTACGAGGGTTTCCATCACCAAATAGCGTATACAATTAGATAACTTGAATCCACAAAATTATTAGGCAGCTCACCCTCGGGAGGTCCCGTTGCATCAGTCCGTTAGATACTCACGGTGGGAGTCTACCAAGGTCATGACATCCCCTACGGTTGCATATATCAATAAAACAGCAAATCCCACATGGATGCGTCAAAACCAAGACCTACCTTTAACTGATTATATCCTAGGCGAAAGACTTCAAGCGCCTTGAGGGCTTTAATTTCGGGCGGCAGGGTAGAGAGATGGTTCGAGCCGAGATCGAGTTCAACCAGTTGATCCCATGTGTGTAAGTCTGAAAGGCATTTAAAGGAAGTATGAGGAGCCCACATTTATACCATAAGCGAAAAAGCATGGAAACAGCGTGGATGGGGTAACAGATGCAGAAGTGGATGGGATGAGGTAGAGTTGAAAATACAGTTAAGGGCGCGTGTTGAGTGGTATTTGACAAAACAACAATTTCACAACTGCTTTTACTTGGCGCCACTTCCTGGGTTTTCGCAAACCTAACCCTACACTAACCCAGGTCCCACTCTTTCAATATGCATAACCGAGATCGCTTGCTGAAACGCTAGGCAGCAAGTAGACAATACACATGGGCTGACTGCTCATCGAGTCAGTTCAAGCTGCGGCAGACTGTTGATTTTCGATGGATCGCATCTTCTCTGTTTGCTGTCAAAACAAGGACCTTCATCGCACGTAGTGAACAGTGTTCAGAGCACAACGGGAACCGTTATTAGCGGACGCCACAGTTGCTGTCGACCTTCCACCCTGCCC